TGGTTCAGGAGGAGATCCTCTTCCTCATGAGTCCAGAGCTCATTGTGGCCAGACTCTTCACGGAGAAACTGGCTGATAACGAGTGCCTTAAGATCACAGGTACTGCTGGGGCATTTAGCACAAAGTTATCTTAAGGCTGTAATACACTGCACAAGATTTAAAGGGGTCATATGATGCGATTTCAAGTTTTCCTTTCTCTTTGGAGTGTTACAAGCTGATTGTGCATAGATAAGATCCCTGAAGTTGTAAAGACTAAAGTCTCAAAACCAAAGAGATATTCTTTATCAAAGTTAAGACTCTGCCACGCCCCCCTAAAACGGCTCGTTCTAACACGCCCCCACATATCTACCTCACTATGTGGAAATATTAGCATAATGCGCCTAAATGTGCATGAAAAGAAAGTAGGTGTGGTTTCAGTAACCGCAGTTAGTGTTGAAGCAGCCATGTCAGGGAGACGCTGTGTGTTTCTAGGCGAAAACAAAAGCACTTTATTTGGCCTTACGAAAGTAGATGCATTTAGGAATCTTTAAGATTACTTACAACAGAACAGCAATGCATTTTATGGACGACCGTTTCGTGAACCTAGGAGAGGAGGTAATTCTGACTTTACTATGACAATCTGGCGCTTCTGAATCAGCTACTGTTTTGTTATTAGTTGTGTGTGTGTGAGAGAGAGAGAGACAGGGTCACATCACAGTGGAGTCAGCTGTCTTAACCGTGGCTTGTGTGCTGCAAACACATATTCATCACTGTGTCTGTCACGAGACTCTGTTCCCCTTTCGGGCTCTGTCTTTACATTTATTTTGAAAGATGAAGCTCGCGATTATGGTAAGGGGCGTTACATTTCCGACGAGTGCTTGCGGTGTTCGGCCAATCACAATGCACTGGGTCAGCTGGCCAATCAGAGCAGACTGCGCTTGTCGGAAGGAGGGACTTTGTAGAGAACGAAGCGTTTGAGAGCGGCGGGTCGTAAAACTCGTAAATTTATCACATTGATTTAAATAGGATAATCTTGTACCATCTTGATATAAAAAATAAAGAGTAAGAAAATATATTCCATTCATTGTTATTAAGAACATGAAGTGCATTAAACATTACATTACATCAAGGTTTCCAAAACTAAGGTTTGTAAAGGAACTGCAAAGGTTCGTGAATTTAATGAAAAGCTAATAATTAATTAAATAATAAAAAATGTCATTTTAAAATAAAATCAATCAAAATAAAACACTTACTAAAAAAAATTAAATATGTTGGTGCCGATAGCCTCGTGGGCGGCACGTCGACATGTAGTGTCTCAGGGGTACTTCAAGTAAATATATTAGGTGAAAAAGGTTCAGATGGCAAAACAAGTTTGACAAAAGTCTTCCAAAGACATAGTAATGCTTAAATAACCTGTGATAAAGTGATAATTCAAATAAAAATTTATATTGAATATAAATATTTACTTCTTAAACCTGAAATTATTTTTGTAAATCCAGTGGTCAAATGTTGTGTAGCCACCTGACTAATGACTGATCTCTGTGTGAATGTCCACAAAACTGCAAGACTTTCTGACTGTATATAAGTGGTAGGCTATTTTAGAAAGGAACATTTAAAAGATGAAAAAGTGGAATTTCAATCAATAAATTGTGAATAAAATATTACTATTGTGTGAATAATATGTAATAAATAAAAAGTAACTGTAGTCTGCTTACAAGCATTTTAAAATGTAATTTAATCTAATTACAAGTAATTAATTTTTGGAATTACATGTAATCCGTTACTACCCAGCTCTCTCTCTCTATATATGTGTGTGTGTGTGTGTGTGTGAGAAAGAGAGAGTAGGGTAAAATAGGAAAAAATATACCCTATTTTCTTTTTTTTTCTTTTTGGACAACCAATCATAGTCTTCAATAGAATTTGTCTTACCTAGCAACGGGGTCAGCCCTGTCTCCTCACTAGGAATAAAGTTTTTGTCTTTTCCTTGCTCAGAGTTGCTCTCAGATTGGTCCTGAATCACTTTTTTTAAAGATTTATTTTTGGTGTTTTGCCTTTATTATGATACGACAGTGGAGAGCAGACAGGAAGCGAAGTGGGAGAGAGAGAGAGGGGGGTGGGATTGGGAAAGATCCTCGAGCCGGGATTCGAACTTGGGACGCCCGTAACACAATGGTGTTGTATGTCGGCGCACTGCCCACTAGGCTATCGGTGCCAGTGGTCCTGAATCACCCTTAAGCAAAGATTGCTAGTTAGAAAGTTTTAAGCTAAATTAGGAGCTCTCTGAGAGGATTCTTAGAAGCTTTAAGAATACAGGCTCAGACCTTTAAGTCATTCTGATCATAACAAACTCACGCAGAAACATGTGCCTTGTTGCTAGGACACGTGTGACAAATGAAAACAACAAGTTTTCTAAAATCGGCTCAAAATATGAAACATGTTTGATATCTTCTAACTGGATGGAATCAAAGTCTGCAGCTAAAAAAAATCCCATATAGTAACTCCTTTGCTGACATGCCACTGAAAAGTGAAAGTGAGATGAGAATTTAAAAAAAAACATTTTTGGGGGGTGAGCTACTGCTGGTCCCCATCTTAGACTAAGTCTTATTTATAATGTGTCATCAGGTCCTCAGATGTACAGCATTACTTCTGGCTATAGCAAAACCTTTTCTTGGGTGGGTCCATACAATGATTGCACAAAGCGGTAAGCAACGATGACAAATGCACAAAATTCAGAAAAGTGAATTTTTCAAAAAATCATTGGTTTTACAGAAAAAAAGTAAATTAATGTAACATTGTGTCAAATTCACTCATAGGGATATGTGGAAGAGGCGTTATCGGCAGATTGTTGCCATTGATGCTCTTGACTTCAAGAACCCAAAGGAGCAGTACACCCAAGAGAACATAAAACGAGAACTCAACAAGGTACTAGTTTTAACACATTAAAATATATGTAAGAATTTTGCCATTCCTAACTGTAAAGGTTATTCAGGCTTGTGTGACTCTCAAAGGCATTCGTGGGATTCCACGGAAAACCAGAAACAGCTATCGCAACAGGCAACTGGGGCTGCGGTGCCTTCAATGGAGATCCTAAACTCAAAGGTAATAAAGAAACACACACACACACACACACACACACACATTTGATCTGGAGAAATTATAAACACTTTACATTGATTACGATAGAGTAAATGCACAGAACAGAATGTGTTTGTCCTCAAAAGCTCTCTTCCAGTTGATGGCTGCCGCGGTGGCTGAACGAGACATGGCTTACTTCACCTTTCGCAATGAACATCTTGCATACGAAATACAAAGAATGCATGAGATACTGACCAAAAACAATGTGACCGTAGGTAAGTACATACACTGAAATCAAAACATACAGGAATGAGGAGGCGTAAGTACTAGAATTATTAATAGACTACAATAGTAGCTCTTAGGTTGATGATATACACTATACACTACTGTTCAAAAGTTTGGGGTCAGTAAATATTTTTTTAATTATTAAAAAATAAATACTTTTATTCAGCAAGGACTCATTCAATTGGTAACATCAATAAATAAATGCTGTTCTTTTGAGCTTTCTATTTATAAATGAATCCTGAAAAATTCAGGATTCCTGAAAAATCAGCTTTGCATCACAGGAAAAAATTACCTTTTAAAATATATTACATATAGATTTTTTAAAATTGTAATAATACTTCACAGTATTACTGTTTTTATTGTATTTTTTATTAAATAAATGTATCCTTAGTAAACTCAAGAGACTTCTTTCAATAACATAAAAAAAATATTAGAGACCCCAAACTGTACTGTTTATGTAGAAACTACAGTTCAGCATTATTTTTAAATTGTATTTTTAATAGCCAAATTCAAGAACCAAGGGTGTTCAGTGTTGTTTTACAAACATACAATAATACAGTACTAAATGTAAGCTAGTTGTTTTTCAGCTACTACTGTTCAAAAGTTTGGGGTCAGTAAATATTTTTTTAATTATTAAAAAATAAATACTTTTATTCAGCAAGGACTCATTCAATTGGTAACATCAATAAATAAATGCTGTTCTTTTGAGCTTTCTATTTATAAATGAATCCTGAAAAATTCAGGATTCCTGAAAAATCAGCTTTGCATCACAGGAAAAAATTACCTTTTAAAATATATTACATATAGATTTTTTAAAATTGTAATAATACTTCACAGTATTACTGTTTTTATTGTATTTTTTATTAAATAAATGTATCCTTAGTAAACTCAAGAGACTTCTTTCAAAAACATAAAAAAAATATTAGAGACCCCAAACTGCACTGTTTATGTAGAAACTACAGTTCAGCATTATTTTTAAATTGTATTTTTATAATATATTTTTAATAGCCAAATTCAAGAACCAAGGGTGTTCAGTGTTGTTTTACAAACATACAATAATACAGTACTAAATGTAAGCTAGTTGTTTTTCAGCTTCTGGTTTAGAGTAACCTGATCATTTCTACTCTCAACAGATAAACTGTACAAGTTGCTGAAAGAATTTGGTGGACACTACACTCGTGAACATCACTCGGCAACAGACTTGTACAGATTCATCAGAGAGAAGATCAAACATAAGAATAGCTTACTGTAAATCTGTCTGGCTTCAGCAGTATTAAATATGTAAAGCTGCTTTGAATGTATCAGATTTCTGAAAGATCAGAATAATGTAACAATATAAAAAAACCTGCTGTATGTTATGTATTTGTTTTTGGACCACAGGTGTCATATTAATTTAATTGTTTACCTTAATTAAAATGTGTTATAGTCAGTCACGATTCATATTCATTAACGAAAAATTCAGATTGATTAAAGATCATCTGATAAAGTACACAAGACATGTATGTCTTTATTAATGCAAAATAAACGGTGTTGTTAAATTTGTTAAATGTTAAATTTGTAGTTTTCTTGCATCATTTGTAAGTACAACAAGCAAACAGATTGAAATTGAGATGAATGGAGTATTATAACAGTAGTCTGAAATAAACATAAGCCTAAGAAAATAAATAAATCCTTTTATTTGATGTCCTGAAGAGAGTCTTTCCGCTTGTTGCTTAATCTCAGCTTATTGTTTTTTTAAATAACAAGAAGATAAAATGATTGTTTCAGCTTTCAGTCCTTGAATTCATTTACTGAAGTTCATTTTACTTTGGCACTGAGTGTTTAGAGGGTGAATGGGAGAGAAGAAGAGGATAAGGAAGAAAGATAGGGTGTCTTTACATTTCCTGCTATATTCTAAAACTGCTAAACACAGGCAAGCTAACTTGTTCCTTTTTCGCAATAATTAAAAAATGCATAGGGTTCCATGCATGCCCTTTAAAGCCCTCATGCTATCATGACGTTTCAGTGTCTCATTTCTGAGACGTCCATGCCAACTCAGGTAACGGACAGTGCAAACATTTTCTTGCGCTGTTGATATGATTTTGTGCATATTCAAAATTTAAAAAAATATTTGTATTATTGAGGGGAAACCTCTAGTTTAAGCTGCATGTCACTTTAAATCCCTATTAAAACCATCATCAACATGCCTCAGAGACACATGCATGCAAACTGATCCCATTACCATAACATTGCTGAAAGCTTGCATCCTTTCATAAAACCTGCATAGATAGGCCTCTCATATCTACTGTACAGTGCAAAGCAAACCTGTGCTTTGGTCAGGAGATTCCTAGCTGCCAGCCTGCCTTCTAACGCTAACAGTGGGGTGTGAGTTTCCTGAAAAACGAGGGACGGAGGGATGGTAATGAAGGGAGTGGATGGTGCGAGGTGCTTAGGACTGGTTCTGGAAGGCATCCGGGTTGAAGGCTGTGTCCAAGAACCGCTCCAGCTCCACAAGATGAGCCTTCTTGTTGCCTGTGGCGGGGGCAGCTGCAGGCTCTCGGCCGGCGTACCTGAGAAGAATACATGTAAATATAATGTAAATGCATGTTTTTCATTTATCCAAAGTGACTTACAAATTAGGGCTTACACGCATTAGCAACACATGATAATTGGGTACAAATACTGTTGCATGAATGCACAGCATGAAAACTTCTTCAGGTCAACCCAAAGTAAACAAACAAACAATGAAATGGATAGTTCACCCAAAAATAAAAAATTCTGTCATTAATTACTCACCCTAATGTCGTTCCAAAACCCTTAAGACCTTTGTTCATCTTTGGAAAACAAATTAAGATATTTTTTATGAAATCCAAGAGCTTTCTGACCCTCCATAGACAGCAACACAACTGAAATGTTCCCAGACCCAGAAATGTAGTAAGGACATTGGTAAAACAGTCCATGTGACATCAGGGGTTCAACCTTAATTTTATGAAGCTACTAGAATACTTTTTGTGCATAAAAAAAACAACGACATTCAACAATTATTCTCCTATATAAAGTATAGAATAAAGTCATTATTTTTGTTTTCTTTGCACACAAAAAGTATTCTTGTAGCTTCACAGAACATTTCAGAAATCTCTCGAATTTCATCAAAAAATATCTTAATTTGTGTTCTGAAGATGAACGAACATCTTACAGGTTTGGAACGACAGGGTGAGTAATTAATGACAGAATTTTGATTTTTGGGTGAACTATCCGTATAAATTTGAAACATGTTAAAAAAATTATGATTATTATTATTTATGATTAATTATTACTATATTATACTATTATATTATAATAGCATTATCACTTATTTTATTATTGTTAAAAAACATTTTTAAGAATGGAGTATTTAGCCATTAAAAACCATTAAAATATTTTGTATTTGCAATGCAGTCATTTTTTATAGTATCATTTCTAAATATGAATAAAGAAAAACAAAGAGAACATTTATTGTAAAACGATATTTCTAAAAAAAAAAAGCAGTCCAACAATTACTTTTTGTAGTAATTGTTGGACTGCTTACTTAAATACTTTTAAAAAAATCATGAAAATATTGTCAATATTACTTGATACAATGGCTTCATTGTCTTTATGACAAATATAATTATTTTAATTTTGGAGGAAATATATAGCCTAGTTCTTGAGAGATTTTGTGAGATTCATTCTAAAGATGAATTTAAAGACATGAGTTACCAAACGGGACAGGTGTTGTTGAAGGTTCTGCTGATGCGTGGCTTGACATAGTCGTAGTAGCCTTGATTCTTATGCTCTTCCTGGCACCACAGCAGCTGAGCCTGCGGATACTTCTCTGCCTCAGCTTTCACCAGGTCAAATGGGAATGGAGAAAGCTGCACAATAAAACATTTAAAGTCATCAAACACATCTTTTAACTAAAAAGGGTGCAGGCATGAAGCGAAAATGATAATGCTGGACTAGTATAATGAGCATTCTTATTATAGAGAAATAAATACAGTACATGGCCCATTTAATAAATATAAGAATCAAAGTATATGCAGGTACCTGCTCAATGCGGCTGATGGCTACTGTGTCCTCCAGGCCTCTGGTCCTTCGTTCTTTGGTGAGGTCATAATAAATTTTTCCTGTGCAGAAGATGAGACGCTTCACTCCAGCTGAATTCTGTGATGCACTTCCTTCTTCAGGAATGAGACGTCTGAAGTGTGTGCCTAATCAAACCCGAACACACCTGAACATTACTAAAAATGCTCTAGCGGGACATTGTATAGCAAAGGATTGCCAAGATTTCAAGTGGAAAAACCTGGTAACATGTCGTCAAATCTTGACTTGGCCTCTGGGTGCCGTAGCAGTGATTTAGGCGTGAAGATAATGAGCTAGAGCAAATAGAAAGAAAGATTAAATCTTCATGAAACCATAAGTTAGCTACAAACAAAGTCCCACAATATTTGACCAATCCATTTTCATGACTTTTCTATGTCCAGGATTTTTAAAAATATTTACATGGATTTGCTAATGAATCCATTCAAAACAATGTGTAACCCATTTTCAGTAAATCATTGAAAAAGCTACTTAGAAAGATTTAGTCACAAATTGGACACTGCAAGTACAATAGCTATTAAATTAAATATTTTAGAGAAAAAAATACTCAAATTTCCATAGCAAATATATGTTTTTCCACGACTAATCCATGATTTCAAGAACTGGAAAGCAACTTTAAAATTCTCTGATATTTCCATGTTTTTCGTGGTGAGGGAAACCTGTAGAGATGATGAACAGAGTGAAATGTCTTACTGGCTTTCTGAAGGGCAGAAGAATCTGCCTCCGAAGAACATGGAAGTAATTTGCAGGAGTGGAGCAGTTCACCACAATCCAGTTACAGTCATAAAGCTGCCGGACGGCAAAGTCCTCTGTGATTTTCTGTGTCAAACAAATGAGTATTAAGACTGATATTCATAGTAAATATTGTGTTCGGTTAAAATTTTCATGCTTAAAAAAGCCAGAGATTTACCGGGAAAACGTCAGGGTCATCATTGCACATCTGCAAGAATCTCTCTGGACGGGCGGAGGAGTGCTCTGGTCCCTGAAAAGATCACCAAGAAAGTAATGAAAAAAGGAGCGGATGAGAAGATGGAAGCTCAGAGGTGGATTTAAGATGAAAAGACCTCACCATGCCCTCCATGCCATGAGGCAGCAGCAGCACAATGCCGTTCTGTCGGACCCACTTGGCCTGGCCGGGGGAGATGAACTGGTCGATGATGCACTGGGCGGTGTTATGAAAGTCTCCAAACTGAGCCTCCCAGAGCACTAGAGCATTAGGACTCGCCATGGCAAAGCCAAGCTCAAAACCTGCACACAATGAGACACAGACCTGAGGATATGATTGTTCAGTGGGCATATAATGTGCAGCTTCTTATGGGTTTGTTTGACCGACAGCAACCAGCCACAGTTCATTTGGTTTATACCCACCAAGAACCCCGTATTCTGACAGGGAGCTGTTGCACACTGTATATGGAGTTTGGTTCGGGTCAATGTAGTTCATGGGAATGCAAGTCCGTTTGTCAACGTTCTGATCATGTAGCACATGGTGCCGATGACTGTATGGGGATAAAAAGGTGGACTATGGAGAATCAAGTGCCAAATCAAGTTCATTCAGAAGCACGAGATACAGCTGCTCTCACCTGAAGGTCCCTCTCTCCACATCCTGACCACTGAGACGCACATGAATGCCTTCCTTTAGAAGAGAACCTAAGGCCATGTATTCTCCCAGAGCCCAGTCCACTGAGCGGTTCTGCACCATTGTAGCCCTGCCCTTCAGGATACGGGTAAGACCTTAGAAGAAGACGGACAGAATAAGTACAGAAGCTGGATTCGAGCCAAACAAGCAACTTTATGATAGAATTTTTGGCAATTTATTGGTGATTTCTATGTTTTTGTAACGCAAGCTAATTTTGAAGATTTCAGTATTTCTGCATTCAAGTAGATAGGAACTGTAGATATAGCCGGTTCCCAACATGCTTCAAAAATGACTTTGGGTACAGGCCATTTGCCTTTTCATAATTGTGTGCAGGTGTATGCAGAGATGAGAGTGAAAAGGTACCTCCATGGATAGTGAAATCCTCCACAGGCACAGAGGAAGCCACCTGACCAATGTGACTAAGCACTTCTTCATTAAGACCAGTGGATGGACAGCTCATACTCTTGGGTTGACCGTCCAGAGTGAAGAAACCTGTAGAGTTAAGCACAAATGTCAAGTCAAGTAGATTTCAGAGCAAATACACGCATGTAATACACACACGTAAAAGTGTCTCAGTTTGGAGACATTGTACATAAACACAAACACACACACACACACCCACCTGGCCAAGGTGAGTCAAGCCAGTGCTTAATGTGCAAGATCTTCTCATCTTTAGAACGATTGTACGCCTCCTCACAGATTTTGTCATACTTGGCAATTTCCTCCTACAAGGACAGACAGGCAACATTATATTAATGTAAATACTCACACAAATCATTTAAGTAAGAAAGTATTTGACAAATATTGTCAGTTTCCTATTATTGTAACTACAACTTAAACACTACCGATCAAAAGTTTAGGGTCTGTCAGATATTTAAATGTTAAAGTCTATTATGCTTTGGTCAAAGATACAGTAAATATGGTAATATTGTGAAATACTACAAAACAGCATTTATTAAAAATGGTAAAAACATTTATAATGTTACATAAGATTTCTGTCACTTCTGATCAATTTGATCTATTCTTGGTGAATAAAATTATTAATTTCTTTCAAAACAATATCTTTCTGACCCCAAACTTTTGAATGTCAGTGTACATATTCATCTTAGGAGTAATATTTGGTTAATCTGACCTCACATTCCTGTCTGCTTACGGCTCCTTCTGCAATGAGCTTTTCAGCATATTTCTGCAGAACAGGTTTCTGTTTCTTTATCTGTTTGTACATCAGCGGTTGCGTAAACATTGGCTCGTCCATCTCGTTGTGGCCGTTCCGTCTGTAGCTCACCTACAGCACAAAGAAGAACACCAGAGTCAACACCTAAAACACATTTGACACACAGTTGGAAACATTCCGACTTAAAAAAATGTGCTTCCCTACCAGATCAACCACCACATCTTTATGAAAGGTGGCTCTCCATTCTGCAGCTACATTACACACATACATCACAGCCTCAGGATCGTCTGCATTAACATGGAAGATGGGAGCGTTGACCACTCTGGCCACGTCCGTGGGATACGGCGAGGAGCGCGCCATCCGAGGGTCAGTAGTAAAGCCAATCTAAAGAGAGGGGAACAAAAATATTTAAATAAATGCACATATTTGCCTCAAAAAAAGTCAAACTTATATGGCAGTTTCAACCATTTTGATAAATTGCACTATTTTAACCACATATTTTATCTTCAAAACCCAAGAAATGTTAACCATCTTTTCAGGACAAGTGATCATGAAATTATATGTGTTATTCCAAAACAAGAACCTATATAATATATTTATACAAAATTATAAATTATACAATACTACTTTTGGCCAGGTATTGTTTTAAGAAATCAGTGCTTTTATTTAGCAAAGATGCATTGAACTGAGCAAACATTAATAATAAGAAATGTTCCACTTCCTTGAACAGCAAATCAGCATATTAGAATGATTTCTGAAGGATCATGTGACTGAAGACTAGAGTAACGATGCTGAAAAATTCAGCACTGACATCAAAGGAATAAATTGCATTTTAACATATGATAAACAGAAAAGAGATATATTAAATTGTTTTTGACTTCAAAAACATGAAGAAAAAAACATCTTACAGACAAACTTTTAAACTGTAGTGTATAATCAATTTAAAGAAGAAGTTCCCTGCTGGTGAGAGTGTGTGAGAAACAGACCTGGTTGTTTACGACCACGTGAATAGTGCCATGTGTGGTGTAGGACGGCAGGTCACTCAGGTGGAAGGTCTCATAGACGATACCCTGACCTGCGAAGGCTGCATCTCCATGCAATAAGATGGACATCACCTTTAGAGACAAGGACACAGTCTTCTTAGTGACTTCATGTCAATCGTGTCTTGTTGTCTGATCACAAAAGATGATTTAAGACTGTTCTAAAAACTGTTTACATAATACAACCGATCACACGTTTGTCTTTCAGGGAACTGTTTAATCTTTGGATATAAGCCTCTTGATTTGTGTTTCACTTTACAAAGTTACAGACATGGAGGTCATCTATATACTAGCGTACTACTTGACAAAGTAAACTTTAAGCTGATGCCTGCACTAGAAATCTACAGTAATAATAGATTTGTTTTCCTGATGCACTGATTAAAATCCTGCTAATGCAATAATGGGGTTTCATGGGGTCTTTAAGAGAAACACTCAAGTTTAATAACATAAGCACAGATGCTAGAAGCACGAGGGCAGTTCACACACCCTTTTGCCGTCAGAGTCACCGCAGTAGAACTGCTCTGCCTTGGTCTTGCCCTGCACTACAGGGTCCACTGCCTCCAGGTGTGAAGGGTTGGCCATCAGAGACAGAGTGATGTGGCGATTAGTGACTCGGTTGATGCGTCTGTGGTACATACCCAGATGATATTTCACATCACCTGAGCCCTAAAGAAAAGTCACAAAGAGAAACTGAAACATGAACAGGACTGGAATGATAATATTACATAGTTTATATCATTTTCCCAGACATGTGGGAGAGGACACCTGTTTTCACAAAAAGCATGTCACCATGGATTGTGTGCAGAGCTAATTAAGTAAACCACAATTACAGTACTGAATGTTTTATGTATCACTGCCCCGGTTGTTCCAGATTTGCAATATTTGTTAAACATTATCACTTTCATTTTAAAGTTGTCATGAAATGACAATTCAACCTATTTTCTAAATGCCTGTTACTGTGAACAATTCAACCATGCACATTTTTTTAGTTACATCATAATTACGAAAGCTTGTTTCTGCCACAGTATAAAAAAAGGTAACTGCGACTTTTTATCTCACAATTCCTGACAATTTGCAAAAAGTTAAATTTTTTACATCCTGTGGTGGCATTGTGAGACATAAACTTAAAAAAGAATAAATTAATTCAGAATTGTGAGATAAAATGTGCTATCTTTTTTATTTTTTATTCCTTAGCAGGAAAAAAAGAGAGATGTAAACTCATAAAAATGAGAAAAAAAGTCTCTCAAAAAATGAGAATTGCATGATGTGAACTGGATTCTGAGAAGCATACAGTTTAAAGCGGCTTGCACTTCTTTCGGATGCGTGTGCTGCCATATGCATTTAAGACATGTTTCCCTCAGCACATAACTTATATCTTATGGTTACATCCTTATCTGCAAATGTTAGAAAGTCACACCAGTATTTGAAACGACTTCAAAACCGAGGTACCGAGGTCATTTTTGTGGAAGAATTGCTGAAATGGGTCCTTGGGCCTAAAAAAAAAAGTAGATCTGGCTTTTTATTTGTGTGTAAACGGAAATATTTGTTTTGTAATCTGTATACTGAGCTTAACAAGAAACTAGTGCTGAAGGAAATGAAGGTGGCTTGAAAGAGCTCCTCACCTCATCTGCAGCTTCCAGCTTTGAATCAAACTGGCAGAAGATCTGCTCCAGCTCCTTACGGATCACATTAGCAAGCACATTCAGACGGCCTCTGATGGAGAGCAGATAATTCAGACATGTTTCAATGGCCCTACATATACAGTATACTTCATTAACCAGCATACATTGTACAGTAGGGCTACCCTCGACTAGTAGTCATTAATTTTAAGCATTAATCGAATAATCACACGTTTATTAATAAACCATTCAAGTCATAATAATGAGCATTTAATTGCCTACATAGCCTAATAAGCTCTCAAGCGCACACATAAAGTTTGCCACAGCAAACCGCAGAAGTAATGATTACGAATGTGTGTTATTGTCAGTGCACACAAATAAACAGAGTCTTTGCAGATTCAAAAGATGTATTACTCTTATCTTCATGACCAAAAATGACAGAGTATTTTAAGAGCAAGTGACTGCACCGGCGCCTCCATCTGTCATGCAGTGAGCGCTACTATTCAGCTTCCATACTCCCACACAGACACTTGAATAGCACACATTTATTCAGATGATAAGCCATATTTGAGGTCGATGACTGATAAGCAATCATTTGGATGTCCTGCATTAATACTGTATTACCACATAGACCAGCCGTTAACTATCTGTCCGTCACGGACTACGTGACTTTGCCACTTCCTGTGGATTGTTTTATTTTTTTCTGCGACTAAGCCACTAATAAAATTTTGGTCGACCAAGTCTCTTCTCGTCGACTAATGGTTAGTCGACTATTAGGGGGCAGCCCTATTGTACAGTTGGTTGTTCCTCTACCTGTGTGGCATTCCCATGATAACGCTCTCCACTCCGTTCTCACTAGATTTGTCGATGATGGTTTTTAGTGCAGGAATGAGAGACTCGCATCCCTCTAGGCCAAAACGTTTCTCTGATGACCATTTCCTTTGCAAGAACTCCTCAAACCTGGCAGCATTACAAAAACATTCACATAATAAAAAGAATGTTATTACATTAAATAACAAGATATCAAAGCAAGTGTCATCTGCGAACAAATTATGTAAGTGATTTGTTTGACAAAACTGATTCCCTTTCCTTGGTGTCAGTATTAGTGGATGTATGAATTCATTTCTGTTTTGTGAAGGGTTTTGCTTAAATTATTTGAATGGCAAATAATGCATTCAGGTCTACAGTAAACTATGGCATGGACAGACCTTGTTGAGCGGACCATACGGGTCAGTAGAGTCCTTTTCTCGTCCAGAGTAAACTGCATCACTCCCGGCTTCTCAAACTTCTGTCTGATCCACTGGCATTGCTGCAGGTCATTGATGAACATGAACTCCACCCCGATGTGCTGACAGTAGGCCATCTGCATAGTGCAGCGAGAGAGAAGTCATGCAAAACAACCAATCTTTATAGTTCGACAGCAGAAAGAAAACAAATTTGTTATGTTGTTGGTGGATATGTACCTCTAAACGCCGAATGATTTCCCTGAGAGTAAGGGCACTTTCACTTCCCCCAATGAAGGTTGTGGTAGGAAGCCGGAAAACTTTATCCAGATCCGCTTCTTCCAGTCCATAGAAGCCTGGCAGCAGACATGCAAACACATGGATGGGGAAAAGGGAGGAAGGGCAAGCGAAACAAAACACCACAGTGGATCCGACCGACACACATAAACACAGAGGACAAATGGAACTGCGTTAGAGGAAGAATTTTTATATTTTATATATAATTTTTTATATTTTTAAAGTGCAAATAAGAGCACATTCAAGCACATAAGACAGAACATGCGAAGAAAAAGCTAAGCCAACAGTATAAGCAGAGGAAAAAGGAAACACGAGGGTGAAAAACAGATCTATTCCAGCCCAGTCCACCGGTGCCACAGGGAATGCATGCATAACACCGTCTACACCGGACGCGACAGTTGTCGTGTCGCGTCGCACCACAACAGCTAAAGTCTGTCTACACTGGACGCGACAAAGCGACCGTTGAAAATCATCTGAAATTTGTGTCAGTACATCATAAATAGAACGCAGCAGCAGTTTACTGTCGGGAATTTGTCGCGTCGCGCCGCATCCAGTGTAGACAGCATAATAGGTTCTATTGTATTTTGTCGTGTCGCGCCGCTCGCGTCCGGTGTAGACACGGTGTAAGATGCTACAGATGGCAACTTGTTAGTCATAACATGCATGTTTGAACAAACACATTTTACCTAGAAATGTGTTTGAGTGTACAGTTGAACTATTTTCTCATTGATTAATAAGCAACATGTGAGTGTATTCCACAAAGCAGAAATGCAGACTAAAATCTCGCATACCAGTTTGCTCTGACCTATGATCTCAAGGTGTGCTGAAACATGGCGTTCCTTCACAATGTGTAACATGAGTTGTTCCTGTTTACTTATCTACACAACAAACATGAACACATGTACTCAATGCTGCAGGCAAGTAAACATGATAACATTCCTGCAACACCAGTAAAACAAGATTATGCTAAATTAAACATGATCACAAAAGTGAAAGAGAAAGACCAAACTGAGAACGTAAGCACAAATAACAAGTCTTGTCAAGTCAAAAGTGATATTCCGGTCTCTAGACCACATTCTTCAATGTAGGTCTGTGGGAATATTTTTTCAAAAAACAAATAAAAAAAAACAAATCATAAATCTGATGGCTTAAAAATCAAGAGTCACATAATTTACACTTTATCATTCATGTCTGTAGCACAAATGGGACACGGACATTAAATTCTTTCACAACAGTGATATTTATATTAAAACAGCACCGCTATAAATTACCATTACGATCTGGAATCCATCAAGGGTAACTTTGGGAGAGTCTAACAGCATGTTCAAACCTGAGCTCTGAGGCTAAATCTGACATTCAGTGAGGATGAGGACATTATGTAAGAAACAGACCCTAGGCAAGGTTAATGAGGGAAATCGCCACATATGCCAGCTGGGTCTCCTGCGAGGAGGAGAACGGCGCAGTGCCACGTGGAGTTATATAAATGTATTTTCGCTAAGAGTTGAGGACATTTTCAATTAAGTTAAAAAAGTTATTTTAGTCTTATTTATATTTTATTATAGTATTTTTTAATATTTTAAATTAGCTTTTAGTTTTAGCTTTTAGTTAATTTTAGGTTTTAATAATTTTTATGTGCTTTTATTATTTTTATTATTATTTTAAAAATATTTCTATTTCACTTTATTTTTAGATTTAGTAATTTTAGTACTTCAAGTTAAACTGATTTTAAGTTACCAAAGCAATATTCCTATTTTCATTTTTCAAAGATTTTCATATAACATTTACACTTTATTTATTTATTTATTTTTTATTATCATGGTTTTAGCTTGATTTGGTTAATAATAACAACAATACTGGTATAAACAGTTTGGAAAAAGCATGCTCAAGTGTTCACTAACAGCCTTATAGAACTAGGCCCAAGAACAATGTTTGGACATGCAAAATCAAGGACATGGGTTACACTAAATGCTAAAAAAGACAGCAAGGCTCTTCTTTTAACTACGCAACACTTTAAGTTGATTTAATCACTGTTTTTTTGATCAGGGAATTGGTGGGAGCTTCTAAAAAAATGCTACTAAAGTGCACTAACTAGTCCTCATACCTCCAGCTGTAAGGTGAGACAGACGGGCTTTAAAAACAGCTGCATCTGAGGAGTCAATAAGCATTACATGAAAAAAGTTAATGCCCCGTGTGTGGACATGTGTTACAAACCTATTTTTGTTTTAACGGTTGTACCATGTCATGACCTGAAAAGAATTGAACCTGTGAGGTGTTCAGAGAAAAAGCACTGAGCGAAGCATTTCCACTGAATGAAACATAGAACAATGCAGCGCTGGAAAACTCCCTCACCCCAAATACTGTAGTGCACTTTAGAACCCGACTGTCAATACACTACAGACTGACGACTCACTAGTATTGGATGCTCATTGACAATCAGCCTGCCATTGATTAAAAAAAGGCTCTAAAATATCAAGCTTTGCCATTAGGAGGAACTGATCAGACAGAGCAAAGCCATTTGGTATTTTGAGTTTGTATGGGGCATTCTGATGGTTCACATTTCCCAAGTTGTTGAGCATGTTGACTGTGTGGGTGTGGCTTGTCTCTTGCTAAAGGTTTCCAGTCATCCACACTGAATGCGTGTGCAGATAAACCTCTACAAAAGGTATGTACACAACAGACAATACAATGAGAAATAAAGCAACTGCTATTCACAGCATTCAGAAAGGCCTATAGCCTAGGCATACTAGTGCAATAATAAAGCCACTGTGAGAGGATATGAAAATGGCAATCTGCAGAGAAAAAGAGGAACTACAACATGACACTAGATGAAAGAAGTATTTCACTGACAAGCAGACGCTTCTGAGGACAAGAGTGATGGGTGCAAAGACATTAGGATACATCATTTACAATGGGCAAAGCCAGGGGACTGGATATGATAATGTACAAACTGATAGGCTCTGATCCAAAACTTAATCTGGCACCATTTTTTGGCATCATGTTTTCAGAAAGGACGCATTAAATTGATCAAAAGTGACATTTTTAATGTTCTAAAAAGATATTTATTTGAAATAAATGCTGTTTTTTAACTTTCTATTTATCAAAGAATACTGAAGACAATGTATCATGGTTTCCACAAAAATATTAAACAACAGTTTTGTTTCTTGAGCAGCAAATCAGCATATTTTGATGATTTCTGAGTGATCACGTGACACTGAAGACTGGAGCAATTTTTTCTTTGATATCACAGAAATAAATTAAGACTTTAGAATATATTCAAATAGAAAACAGTTATTTTTAATTGTAAAAATAGTACACAATATTACGGGTTTTTCTGTATTTTTGATCAAATTAATGATCAATGATTTCCGCGAAGCGGAAAAAGCGCACGGAATCACGGAATCCAGTCATAAAAACGGAATTCACAGTTTAACGCGGAATGTCACGGAATTTGTCAAATTATTTTAGCAGATTTATGCGATTAAGACTGCAGCAGCACTCACATGAACGCTCCCAATAAAATTATTTAGGCTAAGCATCAACATTCACAAACCAATGTTACTGTTATTTTTAACAGAAAAGAATGCAACGTGGGAAATAGTAAGTATCCGATAGCACGTGAAGACAGCAGAGAAGCGCTCTCGCTCAGCACAGTGGAGTGCATCGTTTTGTTAACTTTGTGGTTTATTATTTTGAGTTGTTTGGGACGTGGTAACACACGGCCCTCTCACAATATATTGCTTTACAGATATATCATGTTTGCCGCTAAGAAATGTTAACGCAATCGTGCTGCAGTGCACTATCAAAAGTTCCGCGCTCTGGAGCGGTTAGCACACACACTACATGCGTACCGTGGCCGAGCCCAACTGAACCATGCTCTGGACCACCTCTTCCAACCGAGCCAGGGACAGCTAAACGAACCGCGCCCGAGTACGGCACACAGCAATCACACTAGTCAAATGAACCGGGCTTTGGGGATCAAACGCGCTCGAGCACGGTTCAAACCGCCTAGTGTGAGTACACCCTTATTCTTCCGCATCCCGCACACACGAGTCTCTACACACTCCACCTGCACTCGCCCATCAAGTGTTGTCCCGCGCCGCGTGCTGCGTTGGGTCCCACGATCGTTCAGGTCTCTACTCGGAAGGTGCCTGTTATAATCGAGGCTCTGGACTCTGAGCATAACTTGTTTTCCTATAACAAACTATAAAATATTTTCTATAAAAACGTTAAAGGGGTCATATGATGTTTGACCCCTTTAACATTATTTTGTGTATTTGGTGTAATGAAATGTGTTTATGCAGTTTAAGGTTCAAAAGACATTAATTTCCACATACTGTACATTATTGTTTCTCCTCTATGCCCCGCCTTTCTGAAATGCGTCGATTTTTACAAAGCTCATCGGTCTGAAAAGCGAGGTGTGCTGTGATTGGCCAGCTATCCAGTGCATTGTGATTGGCTGAATACCTCAAGCGTGTGACGGAAATGTTACGCCCCTTACCATACTGTGATGCCATGTCTCGGCCAGGGCGACGAGACAAAAACATTAAAACCCATTATAAACGAGGCATTTGTAGCATCCAGTTGGGACATAATTACGGATTATAATGACTTATACAGTTTTTTTACGAGTTGCGTTGCATCGTGCTGCGTAAACATAAAACCATGTCTGCATTTGTGATCGGAGAAATGACAAACAACAAGCGCTACTCTACACTGCTCAAAACTCGCGTTTGAATCATCAGTGGCAAATCCTTTAAATATAAAGTGAACATTTGGGCGGTGTTATGCAAATCTTCCCACATAGTGACGTAGGTATGTGGGGGTGTGTTAGAACGAGCCGTTTTAGGTAGGCGTGGTTGACTCTTAACTTTTATAAAGAATCTCTTTGGATTTGAGACTTTAGTCTTTGCAACTTTACAGATCTTCTTTATGCACCAAGAGCTTGTAACACTCCAAAAAGAAAGGAAAAATTGAAATCGCATCATATGACCCCTTTAAAAATACAGTAAACACTGTAATATTGTGAAATATTGTCAATTTAAATTATCTATTTGAATGTTTAACATATACCGTATTCCTGTGATCAAATCTGAATTTTCAGCAGCCATTACTCCAGTCCATAGACTGTATGTCTCAGTGTCACATGATCCTTCAGAAATCATTCTAATATGCTGATTTGCTGCTCAGTAACCATTTCTGATTATTATCAATGTTGTAAACATTTGTGATGCTTAATATTTTTGAGGAAACTATTTTTTCACGATTCTCTTATGAAAATTTGAAATGGTCCTTTGTGTCAGAGCGCTGGAGTTCGTCAGAAATAGAATGGGCTCCCTGCAATACAACTCTGATTCTTCAATCGCGCCATCTAGTGGTCTATTATTGATACAACCACAACTGCTACAACTGATAACCGAGCACTCAAGCGGGTACTGCGAGTCATGTTCAGGTAATTAAAATATGTCAAATTAATATTTTGCGCTCAATTATTTACTTATCAGACAAGTGGCCGCATGATAAGCGGGAAAATTACGTAGTGTAATCTTTATCTCCCTGCAGAGGTTTCTTTTGCAAAATAATCTGCTGACTGTACACTATCCCTCAGCCTTGCCGCGCCCCCCAGTTTGGGAACCACTGGAGTAGGTGATTTGTGCTCTATTAATTTGGTCTGTTACAATGCTCTATGTGTTTGATTACTAATGCCTGTGTAGTTCGGCTTTGCACACAGAGGACAAAAATGTTCAGCCTCGACTCTTTATCGTCATTTTTGTTATAATTTGCAAAGCATACCAAATTGAACAAAACTATATAAATGCAAAATTTGAATTCATGAATATATAACGGTATCCACGGTATAGCAAAATCCATATCATGGAACAACATAATACCTGTTGTCACTTTCATACCGGTATAGCGCCCACCCCTAATATATATATATATGTGACCCTGGACCACAAAACCAGTCTTAAGTCGCTGGGGTATATTTGTAGCAATAGCCAAAAAGACAGACAGCTGAGTCTCCGACACGCGCGAGAGCCGCCTGAACGGGCAAATACATACAAAAGTATGTAAAAGTACCCGTCCTGGCAAGTAACTTTGTAGCTTTAACAATGATTAGTCTATATTGAATTTATACAGTGGATACAGATGCACCGATCGACCGTCCATTTTTTGTTTTATTTCAGACTATCTTCTGTTCCGTGCTTGCACACAAACTGCACTGCAATCATTTTCCCAAAGGCCATTTGTGTGGAAATATTACGTTATTATTATAATTAGTCTGTAAACGGCCGTTAACAGAGGCCAGAGACTATGAAGTTGGACACAAAGAGGAAAAAATACTGTAGCAGTCAGTCAGTAATTTCACAAAGCTAAAGTCAGACCACCCTGTTTTTGCTTCATATTTTGAAATTATACAGTCTAATAAAAATCAAACATTGCACGTTTTTTTTATTTTTATCAATTCATGATTAAAATGCAGTGGCTGCTTCTAATTTCAAATGGCTATGAAAAATCAAGGTGCAACAGACTGAAGAATATGATTTTTCAATTTCTGTACCTGAACATACTACAAACATAACTTAAAGCATAATTTCATTAATCTTTGTGCTATAGGCCTATATATAATTGTGCTATTACTTGTAATTTGTTCATTTGTTTTTATTTACTGGCTGTCACTTGTCTTTAATAATGTTTAAACTTTATATTTATGTTTATTTTTGGCTAGTGATTTTTGCAGTGGTATCGAAATTGAAATAGAGAATAGAGAAAATCTAATTGGCGTCTAAAATATTGGTGTCATATAAGCTTATTTATTAGAATACAAGATAAGATCAAAAACAATGATAATAGCAACTATTTTATTTTTTTTGTGGCAGGGCCAGTGAAAATGTTGGCAGGGCAAGTAAAAATCTGAACCACTGGCCCAACCGGGCCAGTAGAAAAAATCCTTAGCGTTGATCCCTGATTGCTGTGATTGCTAG